GAAGTGAGGCAATCAGCCGCGACGGAAGCGAGGAAATCACCTGCGACCGAAAGTGACGACATGCGCCCCAAGTCGAGGCTTGAAACACACCGGAAGTGCCTCTCAGTCCACTGCCCGCCCAATTCACCGCTCCAGCATGCCGGACACCGCTACGGAACCCCACTACCAGCTCCCCTACATCAAGCAGGGGAAAGCAAGACAGGGCCACCGGCCTGGGGGCCTCAGGAGTGGATCCTTTAAGGGAAGAAAGGAACCAGATCCTGGCCTGTTCAAACAACATAGGGAAAAACACCCCTCCGCTCTACAGCAAGGCCAGAAGGGAGGGAAAACACCTTCAACAGCAGAGCCGCACAGAGGGGGATCCGTGACCTCAAGGCCAACCGGTCAGGAAGAAAAAGAACAAACGTGACGTGGTCCTGGACGGTAGGAAACACAATCTAAAACTGAGGTACAAGGGGAAGGGGAGGGGCTTTTAACTGTTTAACTAATTGCGTTTCCTGTAGAAGGTGGAACCAATCATCTCTCAGGTTGCTGTCCTGGAAGATGATTAGGGAAAAGACACATATGTACACAAGAATAGCTGCTTTGATATATAACAATGAGCAAAGCCCTCTTATTAATACACTTAATAATATTATCTTCCATATTGCACACATTTTATTAGTCATGTTTATAAGGAATAGACTATATTTGAGAAAAAATAGGATTTTGGTACTCACCGTAAAATCCTTTTCTCTCCGTTCATTGAAGGACACAGGAGTTGATGGTTCGAAGACACTAAAATGTCTGTCTTAATTGTATATTTGTTTATCTTTTTTTTTTTTTGTCGAAAACGAATACATTTATTTGAAAGAAAAGACTATGCAGAATTGTGAACTGAACCGCAATACTCTGTTTAATAGTCCAAATACATCATCATTTAATGTAGGGCTCAGGGCACTGTATAGAAATTTCCAACACAGTTCGTAAGTTCATACACACATCCCATTTATCAGGGTTTACCAAGAGAGAACATGTATCAGGACTGTGATGGACTAAAATTGGAAACCATTTGGTTCAGTGTGCCAAAAAGCACAACAATTGTGTAAGGAGCAAAAGAGCATACAGCAGCCACTGGTTCCATTTTGAAAACTCTTTCTAAAGTATTAACAGGAGTAATGGAAGATTAAAATCTATACAATTCACATATGACAAGAATCATATCTTTAAAAGAAAGTGCTACCTGTGGAGCAAATTCAAAAAACCCATTCAGCAACAATGCTGAACTGATATGATGTGTCAAAAGCTGACAAAAATATATTAAAATGTCCTACTAGTCATTGTCCCTCTCGCTCCTTGCAGTCAGCAGAGTCAGAACAGAACAGAACACACCCCGACAAGTGATGGAGCAGAGATCTTTAAAACCATTGCTGAATCCGATTACCACTCACGAATTGCGATTTAAAAAATAAAATAATTTTAATTAACTTAAAAGGAGAACTATGGGGCAAATTTTTTTGCTCATAGTACTCAAGGTCATGGGAGGACATATACTGTATCCTCCGGTGACGAAAACCTCAGTTTATATGTGCAGAGCGTCGCAGCCACGACGGATCCCGACAATGCTGTCGAGATCCACCCAGCTGGCTGATTGACAGCTGGCTCGGCCTCCCTAGAGGCAGATCCCACTGTGCACACCCCTGTCCGTTCCTCCAGTCAGCGCTGAAGAAAACAGAGAGGGGAGGGGGGAATCCCTGTGGGGAACGGAGATTATCAGATGGAGAGGATCAATAGAGCCGTCTTGTGACAGCTTCTTTGTCACAGGTCGGCTTGAATTATGGGGATGAGTGTTTTTCACTCACCCCATAATTCTCCTTTAATAAAGAAAGCAGTAGAATCACAAGTGTTTTGCTTCTTACTCTGAAGTGGATTCCCAGAAGAAGGGCTTGTTCATGGCAATGGACTTCAACTCCTGCAATGTGTCCGTTAAAGTGGCACTGAACAGTAGGGTTTGTCGCTGAGCTGGAACAGCGCTAAGAATGACTTGCAGGTCCTGAGTGAAGTCTGTACAACCCTGTTCCAGCAGACGGTCTGCTTCATCTAGAACCTGAAATATACACATACATCAAGTTAAAAAAAAAATATATATAAAAAAGATGGGGAATATATACCTATACCAAGTACAGTAATAACAAACATATTCCAGAAAAGCAAGTATACACTTTACTACAATAACATTTATATTAACATGATTAATCATTACCCTATACATATCATAAGCTATCAAATTCTTACCAAGAATCTAATCTTCTTAATGCTGAATGTGTTGGAACTCCGAATATGGTCAGCCAGGCGACCCGGTGTAGCTATGACGACATGTGGCTTTCTGGCCAGCTCCAGGGCTTGGGCAACCATATCTAAGGAAAATAAGACATAATCACACCTTGGAAACTACTACTACATAACTTATACAAATGTTTACTTTTTAATGACTCATTAAAAGTATTTAACTAAGAGAATAAAATACTAACTTAGCTTTTAACTTGCAGTGTTCCCTAAAGTCTAATTGAACTTTAAAGTGAACAGGTTAAACACCAATGGGACATTCAGTTTAAATTGGCTAAACACATTCCAGGTGATAAAATACCATTGGAATACATTGGACGCAGTTTTGCTCCGGTCTGTAACTGCTCTGCACCTGCTCCGCGCTTGGTGTGAACAAGGCCTTATTCTTTGTGTAAAAGCAGTGGTCCCTCTGAGGCTTGACATGCCTCCTGCTTAGCCAAAGCTCTCCAATCAGCAGGAATCAAGAGTCTTCCCGATTTTAAGATATATAGCTATGATGCAGAAGGGGAGCATCTTTGGCCTTTACAAAGTGACCACTGCTTTTGGCAAAAGGAGCAGTGATACTTTGCAGCATGCTGGCATGGGACAAACTTCTCTACTGTAGGTGCTTTCTATAGAAAAAACTAACTAAGTCTTTGAAAACCTTTTGGTTTTTAGCTCCAGTTCACATTGCAGCATACAGATCCAGAGCAGGTAAAAAAAAAACTGCAGCCGGCCCTATTTTACTTGCTCTGGAACGCATTGAAACGCATGCAAACGCCTGGGACACACTGTAAAGCTCATTATAAGCTAAAAAAATTTTTTTAACCAAAAACGCGGCACAAGCCACTGCACTGCGTGTGCAGAAACTCATGCAGATCTGCTCTGCATTTGGTGTGAACAAGGCCTTAGGGTCCTTCTCTATAGCTTGCTGACAAGGGGCAGACTTTTCTACTTAAGCTGTGGCTGCTTCCTAAAGAAAAAAAACTGTAGAATACTTTTTGTTTTGCTGCATCAACGCTCCATCAACGCTATGAGCGTGTTGATCGAAAAATTCCCACCATTTCTTTTGTATTCTGACAGTGGTCACCGGCCGCTGTCGGAATACCTAAACAGAGCCGGCAGCTCTTTGGCTGCCGGTTCGGTTTGTGCAAAGATTTTCTGACCGGCTCCTTTAATCAGCTGATTGAGGGATGCCAGCCAAAAGGGTGCCAACAGCGGCACTCACTGTGCGTATTTGAGCCGGTTCATCAAGAACTGGCCGAAATTCGCACAGTGTATGGGCAGCTTTAATGGTTACAAGATCTGGCATAGAACTTGTCCACTCAAAAGGAGGAGCAAAACAGAGGGGGTTGTACTTCACATACCACAATATACAGCAATATGTACATGGACGAACATGTTATTGAATTTTAACTATGTTTTACACACCCATTCCTCCAACAACGATGCAGTCCTTCAAACCTAGTGGCTTGCCTAGAATTCGAAACTGTTCTGCAATCTGATAAGCCAATTCTCTGTAAATAAATAAAATATGTATTTTATATACATATACCAAATAACACCATCTCATTGTTTTAAGAGGAATCAAACCAATCACATTAGCTCCTGACTCAAGAGAGAAATACTGCCGTTGCCAATGCTGAACACCTTTGGAAAATGCAAATGGCCTGGAAGCTATTTTGGCCACTGGTCTAAAGGTGCCCATACACTGTACGATTATCGTACGGGAATCGCGGGAAATCCTGCCATCGTACGATAATTGCAAAGTGTATGGAAGGTGTGCGATCGTTTCTACTGTACGGTCGCACGTCTTCCGTCGAACAAGCAGGCTTGAAAACTCGCCAATAATCGACGGGTTAGTGGCCTGCTTGTCGACAACTGCCAAACGGGCCGGTGTGCGCACGCGCACACTGCCAGTTTGCAGTCATCGGAAGCCCTCCCTTCATTGCAGTCGTCGCAAGCCCGCACGCCCCTCAAGGGGGCGGGCTTGCGATGATCGCAAGTACGATCTGCCTGTCCAAGATAGGCAGATCGTACGAGCTTTTAATTAGCTTACAACCATCGCAAGACAAAAGTCTTGCGATGGTTGTAAGGTGTATGGGCACCTTAAGAAAGAAAAAAAACTTTGAGACATCAACCTGGAACTAGTATGCAGCTAGGCAAAGTCAGGCATTTTTATCAGCATTACTGGTCAGTGCATTTACATACTGAAGCCAGTGGGTCAGCATGAGAGCCAAGCAACTAATCTAATGCAAAAAAGCTGATAGACCAACTTGCAGAAGCAATGCCAGGCATTCACAAAGGCACAGCTATGTGCAAGAAGATATTAAAAAAAGTGTAATTTTAGATTGGGGAATAGCAGCAGTGCTTGCAATAATGTGCAAGTATGCACAGTCTCAGCTCTTGCAGGCACCATGTTTGGGTGGAATACTATGTTATGGGAACATTCAGCTTAGCTGAATGATCGTGCTTAGACAATGGAGAAGGGAGTGGAAGAGAATGCAATTGGGAACATAATGCTGGTAAGAAATTATCAAAAAAGAGGGACAAAAGCAATCGAGACAGGCTAGCTATCCCATCCAATCAAACATTTGTCCTGAAATAGGCTGGGCAGTAGTCATGCACAGGAAAGTCTGACATGTTATCAGAAAGAGGCAGATCAGGTGACTGTTGTTCCATGTCTATGGGTAAATTGATATGCAATGTTGGCAAACAGAGTATGCCCATCTTTAGTGGTCACATTATGCACATACAGCTAGTTCCTATCTAAAGTCTGTAGAGGGAAAAAAAAAAATATACATAACGTATTTCAACAGAGATTTTGAAAAAAAGTTTGGCTAGTGAGAAGCATGTTCCTATACTGTCCCAAAACAGTACCAGATTAAATTCCAGCTAGAACATCTTGAAGTATGGACAAAGGTGTTTTTTTTTTGAAGACTGTAAATACATAAACGTGCAAAGAAAAGTCCCCATAAATCATATTTTGTACAGTGGGGTTTAGAATATTAGATGTTAAATGATTCGTACTAACCGGGTAGGTGTGAGTACAAGGCAAAATATTCCAAAAGGATCTTCAGAGAGTTTCTGCAGTATAGGCAACACAAAAGCAGCAGTCTTACCACTGCCAGTTTTGGCGCAACCCATGCAGTCTCGACCTAAGAGAATATAAAGAAGATGTAAAAAGTTAAATCAATTTTTAAAATGTTTTAATGGACTGCTGGCTTAAATATAAGATTGTATACATTATGTGTGTATGGGGGGGGGAAAAAGCAGCAGTCTTACCACTGCCAGTTTTGGCGCAACCCATGCAGTCTCGACCTAAGAGAATATAAAGAAGATGTAAAAAGTTAAATCAATTTTTAAAATGTTTTAATGGACTGCTGGCTTAAATATAAGATTGTATACATAATGTGTGTATGGGGGAATTGTGGGGGGTTGCAAATTACTACTACTCCCAAATAATTCCCTTAGACCCCTTAAAAAGTGAAATAAAAGCCCTGGACCTCCGATGTTTATCCTATTGGATTGTTGTGTCAAAATGCAGGATTGTGAATGGAAGTGCAACGCTCCATTAAATAGTCCAGATACATCTTTAACCACTTGAAGACCAGGTATTTGCACCCCCTTCCCATCCAGGCCATTTTTCAGTATTCAGCGCTGCGGTACTTTGACTGAAATTCATTCCGTTATGCAGCGCTGTACTGAAATTAATTTTATACCATTTTTTGGGGACAGATAGAGCTTTCTTCTGGTGGTATTTAATCACCACTGGGGGTTTTATTTTTTTACTATATAAAGAAAACATTTAGAACATGAACAGTGACTAAAGCTGTCCCACTAACAATTTTTGTAGTGACTCCTTAAACAAAAGTTAAAAAAAAAAAAAA